TTCAGTTTTGTAAGAGTCCTGTGAGATCATATATAGTCTTTGGGGCGTTTTAGTCCAGTAGTCGCATTGACTAAGGTTCAAAGTTTTTAAAAGATTTTCTTGAAGATAAGATCCAGTAAAAGTGTATGTCTAGTTCGATCTCCTACCACAAGGTGGGGTAGTCACAGCTCGCCATCACAGACTCAGGCTGAGGAGTTGAAGTTGTGGTTGTACCAAAGAGAAGGGGAAAAAAAACCTGACCTGCACAAGGTCAAAAAGGAAAAACCAAATTACAATCAGTTTTGTATTAAACTTTCACAATTGTAGTTTACCATAGCATTAATAGTAATAGCATAATTAATCAATAAATGTGTCATCATTTGGATAACATTTCAATATCAAAATTCAGTGCACCTTTAAATTAATTCACCTTTAAGGCATTCAAGACATATAAACAGTTGCGCAACAATATCAAATTATGTAGCTACATTCATTAATTGCATTCAAACAAATAAATAAACACCAAAACGGGTGTAAAATACATAAATTAAGGTGTCCTTTAAGGTTTAAAGGTTTGGCCATAAATTCGGCGACAACAGAAATTAAAGTCTGGTCTGTATTTAATCAATACGGGAGTAAATATATTTACTCGCGGCACCCGCTAGCTTAGCCGCTACTAGCGTTAGCATTAGCATTTACCGAGCGACCAAATAGCGCTACAGGGCGATCATAGACGATTCGAACGAGCGATTTTTTTTTTCAGTATAACTCACCGCTGAGCGGAGGGTTGAATACGTTGAAGTAGAAGGAGAAACAGTAGTAGTAGAGGTTTATATCACGGCAATCACGGAGCACGCCGACTCCAGAGCACGAGCAGCACACAGCCACAGTGAGCGGTAGCAGGAGCATCAGAGCAGGAAGTGGTGAGAGGCACTCTGGGTAATATGGCGTGTCGGGCTTATTGATGGGTGTGGTCACAGGAGATGGGCACTTTTACTTGTGTGGGTTACACATGTGTACGGTGGGAAATGTAATGTACATCTGAGCTTGAACAAGGATCCAAACTGATTTCTCGCCGACCACACGGTAAAATAAAAATCATCCTGTTCAGACATTTAAAAACATAAAAAATAAATGTTCACAGAGGTTTTTCTGAGTTCTAAATGCATCAAAGAGAATTTTGTTTGGTCCTAAAATAAACATGGTTGGGTTCTATAAAATTGCCATAAAGGCCCAACGTATCAAATATGATACATTTTTATCTCAAAAATGGTCAAAGTTATCTTTATTTATTTATTTATTTATTTATTTTACATTTTGTTCAAAGGTCTAATTATTTTTATTTTATTATTTCATGTGTCAGGCTTTTCGGTTGCCGGTCCATCACCTGCTTGGTTTTCTGGAGATGCTTTTGCTCTGACTGGAATGTTCCACAGTGTGACATTAAACAGCTCTACTTTACATTTATTCAATTACAGGTGGTTTTACAGCTCAAAAATACCAAGAAAAACAACATTCTGACTGTGAGCGGAGTCGCCTCTCCACAGATCTAACCTGTACCTTGGTTTGGTTTGGACTCTATTTTATTTGAAGATGTAAAGATTTAACTGTGTAGTGTTAAAGAAAAAGACAACATTAAAACAGAAATGTGTCTCTGTGTGTGTAGTCCAGATGTGGAAGTTGTTAAATCACAATTGTAAAAGTTGGACAAGTGTTTCTAAATTTAAGAAAATGTACAAAAATAAAATAATGATGGACTACGTGACTAAGGAACATGTTTAAAGTTCAGGAAATGTAACTTGTTTTGGTTTTTGGGGTGGAGATTGATTAGTAAAGATATGTTTTGCTTTTGTTTTTGTTTTGTTTTTGTTTTTAATCTGTGAAAGGAGCAGGGTGTATAAGATTTATCTTTTTAAAAACATGAAAACCTGTCAAATATGTGTTAAAGGGTCCATATTATGTTACTTTCTGATCCATGTTATATTGTTGTTTCTTCATCACAAACAGACCTGGAGCTGTGTTTTGTTTAACTACTACTAATAGTAATGATAATAGTAGTAATAATAGTAGTTGTGGTATTAGTGATAATAGTAGTAGTAGTAATAATAATAGTACTAAAATTGCTAATAGCAGTAATAATAATAGTAGTAGTAGTAATAGTGATAGTAGTAGTAGTAGTAGTAGTAGTAGTAGTAGTAGTAGTAGTAGTAGTAGTAGTATTAGTAATAATAGTAGTAGAAGTAAAAGTGATAATGATTGCAGTAATAACAGTAGTTGTAGTAGTAGTAGTAGTAATAATAATAGTACTAAAATTGCTAATAGCAGTAGTAATAATAGTAGTAGTAGTAAAAGTGATAATGGTGGTAATAATAGTAGTACTAATGATAGTAGTAGTAGTAGTAGTAGTAGTAGTAGTAGTAGTAGTAGTAGTAGTAGTAGTAGTAGTTGTTGTTGTTGTAGTAGTAATAATAATAGTAGTTGTTGTAGTAGTAGTAATAATAATAGTAGTTGTTGTAGTAGTAATAATAGTAGTAATAATAGTAGTAGTAGTAAAAGTGATAATGGTGGTAATAATAGTAGTACTAATGATAATAGTAGTAGTAGTAATAGTAGTAATAATAGTAGTTGTTGTAGTAGTAATAGTAGTAGTAATAATAGTAGTCGTGGTAATAGTGGTAATAATAGTAGTTTTAGTAATAGTGACAATAGTAGTAGTAGTAATAGTAGAAATAATAATAATAGTAATCGTAGTAATAGTAATACTGACAGTAGTGACAATAGTAGTAGTAATAATAGTGATTATAGTAGTTATAATAGTAGTTGTAGTAACAGTCATAATAGTAGTAGTAGTAAAAGTGATAACAGTAGTAGTGGTAGTAATAGTAATAAAGGTAGTAGTAGTAATTATAGTACTTTTTTTTTTTTTGGCTTTTTTTAATAGATTTCTTTTTATATTTATTAAGGGGGTTTGTTTATTTATTTATTTTTGTATTATTTAATTTATTTACTTTGATGGGATATTAACAGCAAACATATAACATATACATATAAACATATAACATATAAAACTCTAAAATTCTACTTTATCATCGATGTTATAATGTTGTTTCCTCAGGGGAGTTGTGTTTTATTTAACACACAAATCCTGTATATTTAGGCTGTGTTCTTCTCTAAACACTCTGTTCCACCTTGTGATGTCACGTGGTAATACAGGAAGTGCTCGGCTTTGTTCTTAAACTCCACACACCTTCACTAAAATCGTAAAAACGTAAAAGTTAGGCGTAGGTGTTAACTTGAAAACTACCACCACATGACATCACAAGGTGGAACACAGCATTTCGAGCTTTGGAGATGTAGACGGACTAATAAAAAAAGACTTACTCACGAGGTAACGATTCTCTAACGCGACTTAAAGCTCAGAAGAGTCAGTTTTGCGTAATGTAGTAATGCAGGACCTTTAACTTTTGACGTCTTCCTCCTGAACTTTGAATCCCAAACCGTGTCTCGTCTTCTCTCGTCTCCTGTAGATTTTTTTTTTTTGGACAAGCCCTTTTCTCTCTCCTCACTGTCAAACGCAGATTTAAATGACCTGTTCCGATGCTAATGAAAATAAGGTTTGTGTAACGGCCAATCAAAAGAGAGAAAAACGCCGGGGCTATTAACTGTCAATACCTCCAGCAGGAATAGGGAGATTTAGTGTCCAATTTGCACCGGCAGCGTATCCTTTTCAATCACATCTCCAATATTAACACCAAGCAATAATTCTACCTGCTTTATTACAATGGCGGCTGTCCTATTCCATAAATCAGATACAAAGAGAAATAATCACTCACACAGGAAATCAGGCATGTCTTCTGCGAACCCAAATTGCAGACAAAATGAAACATTATTTTAGCACTTTCCGTTCTTTTGTGCGGAGAGGACAGGAGACATCTTGG